GTCACGGCCAGGTGTACTGGACAGGAAACCCACTCCCCTCTCTTTGCCCCGGACAGCCGAAAATGCTTGGTTTTGAGATTTGGGTGGAACATACCCCCCTTGCAGAAACTTGTAAGGACTCCGTGTGAATTGAAGAGCCTGCTTGAATTGGGCGCAGCCACTCTTGGTGAGATGAGTTTCGGAAACCGCCCAAATTGTCCCTTGAGAGCCTTGAGGTAACCGATTAACGAATTCAGCTTTGTTAAGAAGGCCTGTTGGATTGATGAGTCCCAACACGAATCCCTGACAAAGTGGCCCTGGGTGCGACGCCTCCCCGTATCTGAAAACAAGGGAAACGAATATCGCAAAACGAAGCAACGAACTTTTGCCACAACCTCGGATCAGTCTAGGTCGGCGAGGCATTCTGGCAGGCTCCGAAACGGGGGCGATGGCCCCAGGCTGGTGGCCCCACGGCAAAGTGCTTGTGTCGATTGGGCCTTGGTGCATGTGTGGATCTCTATGTCGGATCCTCCCCTCAGTACGGATATGCGCACCGCACTGAAATCGGCATGACTGCCAATTAAGGCTGGACGTGATATGTCTCTTTTGCATCGAAAAGCGGCAGGAAAGCACGTCCTGGCAACCCCTATTTTGCAAAAAACCCTAGTCACTCATGGCGCATCTTCTTTGACAAAAGAGCCTCGATGCGCTGCATTTGGTCGTCAAGCCTTGCATCAATCCGCCCCTCGAACCCCTGCAGCTGTGTTGACAGCTGGTGATTGACCTTGGCTTGTTGGCCTTGAAATGCAGAGAAATTCTGCGTCAGCTGATGAACCTTGTTCTCAAGTGCTTCAATGCGCTCCGTTTGCTCGATCTGCATGGTATCTTCCTGTGTCTCACCTGCAGTGGCATGGATCTTTTGTTCAAGCCTCTGTTCTAGGGCAGCAAGTTGACTTGGTGTCACTGCTGCTGGTAGCGGAGCACCACTGGACTTTCGCCCCTGCACACTTCCCTTCCAAGGGTCATACTGCAGCCAGGGATCTACGGCAGTTTCGGGCGTGCTCTGGGTCAACGTGGAGATCGTCTTTTTCGAAGCGATGATGTTCTTGGTCATGGGCAATGCTGCTTCTTTCTGGTCTTCAATCTTTGCTATCAAGATGTCTCCATGCTTCATTTGATAGATCCAATGCGAAGGTTCCTGCGGTGCCGTGACTTGCCAAAAAATCCCTTCCTGCACTTGCAGTTGCGACATTGGTTGGACTGGTCGTGCATTCCAACCCAGGTGTTTAAAGCCTTTGGAGAGAGAGGCTTTGGTGGATCCATACGGGAATGGACCAACTTTGTACGGCTTCAGTTCCTGTCCATCCAAATACATGAGATCAGGTCTGTGTTGGAGATGCACTTGCTCAGCCTTGGCCTTGTCAACACGCAGGCCATAGCGCATCCCCATCCTGACTATGGTGGTGCGAGCGTCAGTCTGGCTTTTTGCCAATCTCATCTGTGCCAGTGTGTGGCGTGGCATCCAGATGACTCGGTAGGCCGGATCCGGCCTGCGACCATCAAGTGTTCGTGGTTCAATGTAGATTCCATCTACAGCTGCATTGGGCATGAGCTGATCTGCAAAGCTGGACGTGACACGGACCAGGAATACAAAGATCTCTGCTTGACCTACTGCGGCTTTGGATAGCTTCAGGTCCAGTGGCTGGCGATCCCAAACATCCAAGATGTGCTCTGACTGGGGGAATTCCTCCAGGTTCATCAGGGAATGCTCGAACACAGCTTTGACTGGATGGAGTGAAAAATTAGCCCAGGCCCCTGGCCATTCGTCCCTGTAGATCAATACTTTGAGCACTCTAGTTTGGATTTCGTCAAGTGCAAAGCTTTCGGCGGCAACGTGTCGTTTGACTTGTTTGGAGCCGAGTTGCAACATGGCGACCGAGATCAACATGGCTTCTCCGGTACTCACGGACATGGCGGGAAGTCTGATCTGTTCGGCACATGGCGGTAGACGTGCGTCGGCGTGATCCAGGACCAGCAGCGCGATTCCTTCAGCCGAGATGGGCGCAGTGAGGGTCAAAAAATGCACAACTTCATCTATGTTACAGAGAGCAACCCCTTGTGCATGTGCCTCAACCTTATGCAACGCAATCGTTGGCAATTTGTGACCATCTTGTTGGACAAACAACCCATCCGGCAATCGAATCTGGTCGGCAGACGGGACGACTTGCGGCTTTGGACCCTTGACCGATGGTTTCTTGTTAGCCTTAGTCCCGATCGGTTTGCCGGTGGCAATGCGTGCTTTGATGGCCTGGTCAACCTCGGCTGCTAACACGATGCGAATTGGTGGTGAAGCCTGCGATGCCCTTGTCTTCAAGTCCTTCCACGGCTGTGGACTCTGGAGGACTTTCGTGATGGTCTCCTGCCCAAGTTGGTGGATCAAGTTGACTGCACAACTATCGACTCGGTCAGAGCTAACCCCGTGCTGCTTCAGCAGTGCCTGTAGGATCAGCTGATCCGGATGCAGAGTGCCACCAAGCCGGATTGGGCCCTTGCTGGCTTGCTTGTGGTGCATAATGTGCATGGCGAATGGTACTCGCCACTGATCGGCCTGTGATGCTGCTACTGCACTAGTGTGTGAGCTCCCAACCGCAAACCCGAACATCCACTTGACAGTCTGGAAGCCACAGTCTGCGGCGAAACCATTGGGCAAAACAAACGTGGAAATGTCCACTACGTTGGGACCGCACGCATCAACCACAATGTTTTGCAGGACGTGCCCAAACGTGGCAGGGACAAACATAGTGCAAGTGTGACCTTCAGCTTGGATGGCAATGGGACTCCAATGACAATTGAGAAGGACTGGTGCCATGAACTTGGTTTTCCCTGCATCCTCTTCATGATCATGGACACACTGCAAGACCCATGTAGCAAGGAGCTGATCGGGGTCATCCTGCTGGTCAATGATGATCGGTGGGTTTACCTGATGACCTTGGTTGCGGACGAGGGTGGCATAAAATTCCATTTCATCGGTAGCTACGAGTGGACCCTGCTGCAATAGGCATTGGAACCGACTTCGGACCCCCGTATCCACGACTAAGGTCTGTTTGGCATGGACCTTGGCACATGTGGGCACTGCATGAGTTGCACCATTGGCAACTACATACCAACTGGCTGGTGTCAGCAAGCTACTCAGTGGCAGGGGCAGACCGGTCAGATTGGTAACGACAATCGGTTGTGCAAACGAATCAACGCCGGCCTCAGCCTGGGACAATTGGCCGACTGTGATGCCTGGGCGGACACGCACTTGGATGGGAGCACTTTCTAGGCTACACACTGTGATCAGAAAATCGTCATGAGGTAGCAACGAAAGGCATTCGCTCCTCGGCAAAGGCGATTCTTCCCTTGGGATGTCTTTGGCCAATTCAGGACTACTGGAGCAAGACCAGGCAATGTTAAGGTTGTGGACCTTGGTTGACTCTGAGCTACTGGTCATGCTTGGCACACTCCCCCCTTTGCCCTTACCCCTAGAAACATGGAACTGGCAATCCGGCTGACCTGGGCGTGGACCTGTCTCAAGATGTGGCACGACTTCTGTTGGTGCTTTGGGCACCTCGAAGCTCTTGGCATCGGACAGGCAATCAGGTCCAAAGTCCTTGGCTTCCGCGGGGCGTCGAATGATCATGTCCGGTTGGGGAATCTGACAATCTAGCTGGATCGATGCGATGGTTTTATTGGCAAAAAACTCTATCCCTCCAGTTGATGATAACCCCTTTGGCTCATGGGCATCTGCGACTGCCTTGCGTTTGGAAGAATCTCTGTGACGTGGCTCTTTCTCGCTTGCAGCCGAAGCAAGCACCTGCGGGCCAGTCATGATAGTTGCTTCATAAGTGGCTCCGAACCTGGCATAGACTGCTTCCTGAAAGAGTTTAGATTCTTTCGTGTGAGCAAACGGCCTAAGCATGTCATCTCGAGCTGCAAAAACCTCGGTGGCCAGTTGGAGCATTCCTTTTTCGGCGAACTTTGGATCAGGTGGGGCCCCATAGGCCTGCTCGATGGCTTGTACGATCTGTGCCATGTGCCACAGGGCTTGGGCAGGTGAAGCCATTTGCCCCAACGCAGTCAGATCCAGTCGTAGATCTCGCTTAGCTCCTGAACGCAGATGGTCAGTGAGCACCATGTTCAACAGCGCAACTTCATCCGGATGTACGCGCCTCATGCTTGGCATGTCTTGGCCCTTCACTTGAGTGCTTCCCTGGATCGGGATAAGTGCACCATACAGTCCGCGATCTTCGATCCGCTGAGGAGTGAACCCTCCTGAACGGCAACCACACGCACATGCTGTCAGTTGTGAGCCCCACGCGTGTAACGCTGTTGCCAAGGGTTGACATGGGCTAACGGAGTTCTTGCCAAGTCCTCCGGGCTGGTCAGCAAAAGCTTCCAGTTCATGTGGTGTCAACTGAAGCTCAACAACCTGTGGTTCTGGCCAGTCTGCCAATCTCGGGATGAGGTGCCTGAACGATGGTTGGAAATCCAACGTTGGAAATTTCTGCAATGGCGGCATCTTGATGTATGGATGGGTCATGACAGCCCACCATCGACTCCGTTTCGCAGGCCACAAATCTTGTAGGTGGCACACCTGCTGTTGGAGGGTGTAGCCTGTATGTTTGCAGAAGGTGTCTAGCGTGCCTTGGATCCATGGCGATGTCATGGCTTCTCTGGTGCATTCAAGCAGCATGGCTACCGGCTGGAATATATAACATGTGGTGATCATTCCTTCGAAGCTGCGTGCTCGAGGATCAAGCTGTTGCCGTTGGTCTCCAAGATGGGAGAACGGTTGACAGGAAAATCCTCCTGTGATGATGCATGGGGTGGTCACATAGGGCAGCAGGGCCTTTTGGACTTCGAAGCTATCGATGTCGCCCTCGATCACATTGTATTGCTTACCCCTGAGCCATGCAGCATACGTCGGGTTGATTTCCACATGACATCGAACTGAGCAGTCGATTGTATGGTAGCCAGTGGTCATAACTGCAAAACCCGAACAAATATCAATGACCTGTGTGGCTAGTCCTCGTTCAATCTCTTGGTGCACTAGGACATCCTTTTGATCAGTCAGCAACATAGGCAGTCCATCGGATGTCTGCTTGGTGGCTGCAACAACTGAAAACCTATCGCCTCGAAGCTGTACTCCTGACAGGAGGAATTGCTGGTTCTTCAAGGATGTACAACATCTATAGATCCTATCTTTGGAATCACCCAACCATGCACGACCAGCCACACTGACGGTGGCCCCATCTTGCAGTGATCCTAACCATGGCTCAGGATCGAAAATGGGTGTGTTACCCCCTCGAGACATCGGCCTGCGTAGGCGTACCAACTGCAAACATATGTGTGGAGGGGCTTGCCAGATACCTCCACCAGCGGGAAAGAGTGTGGCATGGGACACAAAAAAAAAGAACATGCGTTGCATTGTGCATCAATTAGGTCTGGTCAGAGTCTTTCCCTTCAGGGCCAACAATGGACTCTGGCGGTGAATTTACTGTTCCAGATGCAAAAGGAGCGGATGCGCAACAATGCACCTTGGCAGCATTGCAGTTGATTCACAGCCTATGTTCGATCCTGATTGAAGAGAAACAAAAATTGTTTGCGGCTGGGCATTGTGATGCATTGTGTATGAGGCGTCCAAACTTGAAATTTCCTTGCGTCGCTCATGCACTTTCATGCGGTTTCCAAATCATCAATTCGACAGGCGGTCCATTTAGAGAATAGACTCTGTCGGCGCTCAGGTGGTGTCCTGCAGTGCTGCTATCAGCGCTTGTGAGAAAGGACGCTTAACTGCTTATGCACGAAGTGAGCCCCAGCTCCTTACGAAGAGATACGGAGAGTGATTCGGCACTGGATCACTCAGCTCTGCCAAACATATAACGACTTTGGAGGCAGGCGGTCGCCAAACATAAACAATTGAGTAGTATTCCCCACAAAGTCTGAGTCTACCAGCGAACCCACCCGAACAATCCCAGACCAATTCCACGGTAGACTAGCTCCAGCACAACAACCTCAACTATCGCTGTGAAGCCAAGGTAGTCAATGGCTCCAAGCAATGCAGCTCTTGCAGGACTTGAAAGAGGTCCGGACCTGATCGGCACATTTATGCCAATAAGCCAAGTGGATGTGATTTAATTTCAACACTCCTGCCAATACCCATCCTAAGGGCCTGCAATGCTTGTTTTGGGGTTTGGTCTGCATAGCTGCTGCAGGAGATTTTCATGCACCTGCAAAACAAGAACAGGGAAAACCAACGTAGCCACCTTCAATGCCTCACAGAGGGCACTGCACAAACAAGCTGCATCACCAGATTTTGCCGGAACTTCCTTTGAACACAGCTCTTTTGAGGGCCAGGAGGAGCTCGACGTGATTCTATTGCATCTCGTACGACTGAATGCTGAAATCTTGCTGAAATCTTCGACTGTGAATCGTCTGGATTGTCGGTTTGGATTGGATCTTCTTAGATGGTAGGTCTGTGGTCATGGTTGATGATTCTCAAACGGCCGAACTAAACTATAGACATCCCCCTGCCTGTTTCCTCTACAGAATGCCACGGGTTGGGTTGGGCATTGATATACAGCAAGGCATTTTTCCCCAGATAGCGAAGCTATAGGGGTTCTTACTTCTCAATGGATGGGTTCCTGATTGCGGAAATTGGCTGCCGCTGCCGCTGCCGCCTTGTTTCCCAAGCTTGTCTCCCTTCATGATTTCGCTCTTGGCTGCCTCTGCCGGCTTGTCTTCCAAGCTTGTCTCCCTTCGTGATTTCGCTCTTGGCTGCCGCTGCTGCCTTGTCTGTGAAGCTTGTCTCCCTTCATGAT